TTTTTTGGGGGGGGGGGGTGGCAGGGAGGTATATATTAACAAACAAACTAACCTCATGCACATACCAATCTCAACTTTCCCTGCTCAACTTTGTAGTGCGTCTATCCAACTACTAGATATGTACAACACCAAGGCTGCGTTTGGGACAGGACAGAACAAAACTCACTGTCCAACGTTTGGTGTGACATGGGACAGGGCAAAAACTATCCACGTTAGGCGTGACATTTGACATGGACAACAGACAAAGTGGGACAGGGTGGGACAAAAAAGATTGTTTTTTATTTCACCAAGATAGGTGGAACAGGGTGGGACAAAAAAGATTCTTTTTTATTCGACCAAAATAGGTGGAACAAGATGGGACAAGGATAGGACAGAAACTAAAAAATTACTAGTGTACGATCATTTGATATAATCCTAATATGGAATTTGTTTTAATGGTTACCGCCGCCCATCGCTGTCACCACCACCTTCCACCTCCTCCTCCTCCTCCTAAACTACAACAACCTCCTCCACCACCTCCACAACCACTGTCACCTACCGGCCACCATCATCCATTGCTGCAACTACCGCCGTCAACTACCTCCACTATAACCACCACCACCACCACCTCTACTTCCACCACATCGGCCACAACTACCTCCACCACTGCCAGCAACCACCACTGTCCACCATCTTCACATCATCCACAGTCACTGTCATCCACCTGCCACTAGAGTCTCTACCTCTACCACCATTGTTGCTGCAACGACCTCCACTGTGCCTTCGCTAATTCACAAGAATCTTCCAAACCGGATAAAACATAGTTTTTTCTTTGTACAAGCCGGTTTTTGTTTGAACTACCCTCAATTATATCAAATTCGTCATCAAATTTGGTTCTATTATATATGTATATGAAAATTATGTAAAAAATGTTTATGCATTAGATTATTTATATATTTACTTGAGGTGTGTCATTTTTAACTATTATATGATAATATATATATATATATATATATATATATATATAAATATAAATTACCAAACAAATTTTAGGGGCAACTTGTCTAGTCTTGTCCTATCCGGTCCTAGTCATACCAAACAGACACACAACTTGTCCAGTCCAGTCCTACCCTCTTGTCCTATCTTGTCCGGCTACCAAACGCTACCCAAGTACACTCAATAACGACAAAATAGTGGAATCTTGCAAACCGTAGTCGATAGTATGAATATTTGTAATTGCTAATAGGAAAGTAATTTTGGAATCAAGTTTTGCTGAAATGAAATGTTGCATTTATTTGCTATCCCGAAAAGAAATGTTGCATTTATTTTTGAGATGGAAAGGATATGTATCTAGTTTCTGACTACCAGATATTTGTCTATCCTAACAGTGATGAAGAAGATTCCACATCCGCATCAATGCCTCGTACAACAAGGGTACGCGCACAACCCAGCTTATCCAATGGATCTGCTGCAAGCTTATCATCACCAAGGTTACTTCTTTTATTACGCAGTCCATCTATTCCTAATTCCATTGTTGTCTTACTCTCCTTGTTTCATATTCCATCTGCATTTTTTTGTGATAGTTTGATACAAATGTTTTTTGCTCAAATGCAACTGCGCCAGTTCATTTTCTTCAAACTTGCAGTGGAGTGTTATCTTGAGATAATCTGTATGTCCTCACCTCCAATTTATTCAGATAATATATGCTCGACGAGCATGGTAAATTTGTTTTGTGGTAGATATTTTAATGTAAATAATTTCTTTTAATGATCCAATTAATATGAAACTTGCCAAGGAAAGTGGAACAATTTTTTGGGGTTCAAGTATTCTCTCAGTCTCATGAACATTGATGACCCTATCCTTTTCTTGATATATCATGAGAATTATGGCACTCTTTAGAAAGATACCAAGTTAAAAGTGCTTATTTGCTAATTATCATTATCGATACATTGACTTTATTGATTTAGATCCAGAAGAAGATTTATTTATTTGTGTTTATTGAAGGTATTCTATGATTGCTTATTAGAAAAAAACTTTTGTAGCACTAAGTGATGGTAAGATTCTTGACTTACACTCTGTTGATCACTCTTTTTCTAGTCCTAGGCCTGGTGGACTTGTTGACTATGAAGATGATGATGACGATGATGAAGACTACAAACCACCGCCAAGGAACAAGTCCGACAAATCTGAAGACGATGAAGGAATTCTAGAATTCAGATTGAAAAGAAAACTTTCCGCTTCCAAACAAGAACCCGATTTGGTAAAGAAACAGAGATTGGGAGGGAAAAACCCCAAGTCCAAAGAAAGTGTGTTTGCTACATTGTGCTCAACTCTAAGTCAAGCTGTATTACCTTCAAAGAAAACACCAAATGCCACAAATTCCCCTAATTCTCAAGAAATGGACAAGGTACCTGATGAAAAGAGTCACGAAGATAAGGGTGATACTAATCTAAACGAGGAAAGCGAAGCAGATAAAGGTGGCACAGCAGTTGCTATAAATGGATCTTGAGTTATTGAGGCTTTTCCTGTCAAATCTGTTTTGTTTCACTTCAGCCTTATGCTTCCGTGGATGCAATTTTCTTGAAAAAAGAGACCCGAATGGCAGATAAAAAAAGTGAAACATTTCTTAGCAATATTCCCAGTAGTGGTGGGAGAGGATACTGTACAGTACCATTGCAAAGGCGGTGGCGGTGGTGGGGGGCGCTGCTTCCATACTTTCCAGTCAGGTAATAAGGTGTTGATGCTATTATTATCTCATTGTATAACGTTATACTTGTGTTGTTGCAATTTTGCTTAGCTTTCGATCAACTTAATGCTCCTCCTCATTGAAGTGGGTTAGTTTTTAGCAACGAATGTTAATGTGATAGGATTGGGGTTATATGTGCAAATTTTCCTGTGAAAGGTTTGCTGGATGTAGTTGTTATCTATATGTTGTACATTACTATTTTGATGGAAGATCAAAACAGCTTTCCCTTATATATTTGTTTCTTTCAACAGTTTTCAGATTCTGAGGTGGATTAAGTGATGTTGTTTTGTCCATGTTAGCCATACTTTCTTACTCTCTCCTGTGTCTTCAAGCAGGGTTCCTATATCGAAAATGTCTAAGGGCCTGTTTACTTGAGGCTTAATGAGCTTAGTGGATAAACTGGCTTATTCACACAGACAAAATAGGCTGTTTACCTCGGGCTTATTCGCTCAGAAATGGGCTTATTCACCCAGATGAAAATCCTGCCTTGTCCAGGTTAAGCCGGCCAAAAGACTTGCCCTACCCTCATCCACCAACAGCGCCTCTCTCTTACGGAAACACCAACAGCGCCTCTTCTCCATTGATCCAAAGAACCCTAATCGAAGGTCTCTTCTCCATTGATCCAAAGAATCCTAATCAAAGGTCTCTTCACCATCGATTCAAAGAATCCTAATCGGTTTCTGTCTCGGTTATAAATGGTAGCATAAACCTCGAGACAACGAATGGTAGAATATAGTCGTATGGAACTGGGGTCGGATGAATGGTAGTACAAACCTCGACATGAGTCATCGACAGTCACCAAAAAAAAAGTGTCTGTGTGTCCGCATTGGTTGACCACACCCATTGATCCATGCTTGACCTTTTCCTATATTATTCATGTCCAGAGCCAATGGCTCATCACCATCAGGTGCATTGAAGTAACAAAGAATTGAAGACCCTTATGTTTGCCATACCTTGTACCATGTCTTGTTGTTTGTTGTTTCTATAAACCCAGTTTTTGTCAGGGGTAAATTGGTCATTTCTGTTATTCAGATAGAAAAGTAAACAACAACATAAATTTATCCAGACAGACAAATTTATCCAGACAGATAAGGCTGTCATGGCTGTTCTCGATTTCCTTACCCCCTTGACCGTCATCAGTCTCTTACGTGCGTACGTATCTAAACCATTATGATTTCCCCTTTACAACTATTTCCAACATGGTTCCTCATTTCTACAACTTCTGACTTCCTAGACAAAGGATCGTGTGAGAATCCCACCCGATGAATTGCGCTTCTCATGGTGCATTTCATTGCTGTTGATGTTCAATCAGGATTTCACCATTTCACCAATGCTATCTTGTAGAATTTCTTTAATCAATTACTTTCTTTTTTGTTACCATTCACCACTTTTGTCTAAACCATGGAGCCTATGTCCTTTAATTCGGGATCTCTTCTATGTTGACCTATGTTGTTAAAATCGCGATATATCGGATATCGGACTCTAGAAAAATATCGGTGGTGAAATATCGGTCAAAATATCAGTTCCGATAATATCGCCGATATTTACCGATATTTGATAGAAAAATCGGTCCGATATACCGATTTTCTATAAGACAAATGTTTGGGTTTTTTTTTTATTACATGTCGGGCTTAGTTTTTTGGGCCTCTTTATTTGGTCAACCAGTCAACACATATATTAAGTCTCACGCTTCTTCTCTTCTCGGTTCTTCACAATTCACACTTATTGTTTGCGATTAGCTCGTTTTTGAACATTTTTCTTATTTTCTTTTGTGACTTGTTTATGTGATGTTTTAGTTTTAAAACTATATTTCCAAACTCTAATTAATGCATATGATATGTTTTTTTTTTTTTTTGTAAGGGTGTCCGGGCCAAGGCCCGACTAATCCCTGGCAAATTTGGAGGCTAAACATGGCCCCACTTAAATGTCGCCAACACTCCCCTTCCAGGCTCGAACTCGGGTTCATGACTATGTCATGCCCAAGCCTTTACCACTAGGCTAGAAGGTCTTTGACATGCATATGATATGTTTATGGATGCATACATAATATATATATATATATATATATATATATATAATTCTAAGAAATATTATATTAACCGCTATTTTGGACCGATATATCATCGATATAACCGAAATATCGAATATCAGTCTCGATCGATATTTTATATTTTGGTCGTAGTAACATCATAGATATTAACTTGTACCTCCTCGTTATGGTTACTATTGGAGATGTTACAATTTCTACTATTTTTGGTAGTGGTATAAATCTTTTAATATATTACTCATGTCACTTAGAGGTTCAAGTAGTTGACGGTAATCAAATATCAACTTATGGGTTGTAATAACTGTTACTATTAAAAAAATCAAATATCCAACCCGTTTTGTGAGCTGATTAATCCCAGGATGATCACCTGTTTTGAAGGAAGTCTGGGGTATCACATTTGAACTTTCAGGTAGTGTTTGGTACGCAGACTGGACGGGACGGGACAGGATGGGACGGGACGGGACGGGACGGGACGGGACAGGACTAATTGTCTGTCCTATGTTTGGTACGACTAGGACAGAACATGACAAAACTGTTAAAATGACCATATTACCCCTAAATGTTGTTCAATGTTATTTTATATCATATAATGATTGTAAAATGACAACAAATCAACCAAAATATATTTTAATTACATAGTTTTCATGGATCACCTCGGCTACCTCTACACAAGAATTCGACTTTACAATCAAAAGACTGAGAACTCACAATCAAAGCTCCATGAACAAGAGCCATATCTTGCTCATTGTGTTACTTACAGTTTTACTCTCATTGGGCAGGGCGATTTTTGAAAAAGGAGACTGGAATATTGTGGTGACAAAACCACAAAATTATGACAAGTGTATCAAGATTCTCCGGCTTAAATAAGACCAAATCCTAATATAAAAAAAAAACCCATGAGTAGCAGGTTGAACAGCAAAATGAAAATAAAAAACGATGACTTACATGGAAGAAGAATTGACGGGTGTTGAAGGAGGCTCGATAATTGTGTTGGATAATTAGGTTTTTTATTAGAAGAAAAGGGTAACATAGTCATTTTATATTTAATCCCATATTGTTCCACCTTTTTTGGTGGAACAAAAGTTATTAAGTTTTGTCCTATGAAATTTAAAAATAGTCTCATCTTGTCCTATGTATTTTTTGTCCATGGCATGCCAAACATGGGACTATTTTTTTTGTCCCGTCCCGTCCCATGTATTCTGCATACCAAACGCACCCTCATGACCACAAGAAGATTTTTATTCCTCATTGGATTTGAACCTGACACCTCCAGACACTTTTAACCTTTGAAACTAGACTCAAACCAATCAGACATCACCTCCGCTTTTTCTATTTATTGAAGCACGACTTGCTTGATATAGTTACTAATGCTAATTGGTCGGTTAACGTTTTCAAACTTCAATTCTGATCTCGAACAGATTTAACATTTGCTTTCAACATACGAAATAGTGTTGAAATAGAAGTTATATAAGTTTATTTTAATCATACTAGAAGGGTATTCGTTCAATGTATCGAGACACATTTCGATTTCAATGTTTCGTTTTAACTTTTATCTATGTTGATATACTACTATTTTATGTGGTTTTGAGAAAGTGATAATGTTTTTATTTTTGAATAAAATATAAATTTAAAAATATCATATAAAATTTGCAAAAAATATATCAATATTAGTATCAAATTAACTATTTAAAAGTTTTTATTTGTGTATTTTTTTAATTCAAATTTTTATTATAATTTAATTTATCGTAACGAAGTAACTTAATTTAGGTTTAATAAAAAATTTTATAAATATAATAATTATGTATTCTGTTAGAACTCAATAATTATTCTAATTATATTTTATATTTTTTATATTTTAAAATGAGATGTTTGTTCTCTATTTGACTATGTTTATCCGCAGTTAGTTACACGAATTCAAACATAGAGCTTTAATAAGTTGTACTTACGTAAAATTTACTTGTAATCTTGAATTTTAAGTAATATGCATCAATAAACAGTACTTCATGCATAAAAAACGGTTTTTAAGAGTTTTTGTCAAATACTTTATAATATAGTATAGATACTTAATGTCATGTTTATTTAAAATATTAAAAAAATTAAAAAATAAAGTCAAGTTAGAAAGTTCGAGCATTAATGGCTGGTTACAATCAATTATGAATTTTTTTTTGATAGTTACGAATTATAAGAACAGTTGTGGAAAAATCAAGTGTAATTAGGAGCTGTTTGACAATTGTTGAATATTTTGGTATAGAATGATTAAGTGGTCAGAATGATTAAAAGGCTCTCATGATATAGTGCAAAATGAAATATAATTGTTTGGTAATTGTGTACAATGAAATCAAGGCTCTTAATGGTCAAGGGAGATTCATGATACAAAATCATTCAGAGGATTTTAGAACCATTAAGAAACAGACTTTTTTTTTGTCAAACAAGATTCACCTCTTAATGATTCAGAGGTTGCCTCTTAATGAAACTATTAAGAGGTAAACAAACATAGCCCAATAAAAAACGCAACTAGATTTTAGTTTTACTCATCTCTACTATCTTGTTAAGGTTTTATATATATCGTTTTAAAAGAAATATAAATTTATTTTAATAATTAACGGTCTTTCAAGAATTGTCCTTTCATACTCGTGTATTTAAAGACAGCTCTTGTAACATCCAATTTCTAATATGCCCAATTATTTGCTTAGTATATTTAATTATTGGGTTAAAGAGAACTTATGATTTAGTGGGAGTTTAGGTTTGAAATTTTAAAATTATACTTTATAGGAGTATATTAGAGGATTTGGGAAAATTTTACGACAAATATATACGTAAAACTGATTTTCTTGAGAGATATTTTCTGGAATATTTTTGTTGGATGTTATAGATTATCTCTTTATGATCGTGTAGGCGAAAACCTCATAGAAAACGAAAGTCCGAGCGAAAAGTTATGAATATTTTAAGTGTTGGTAGTCAAAATGGGTACCTAGCCGGGCTAACCCAGCCCAACTCGAGTTTTAGCATTATAAATTGGATTTTTGGCCCATTTTTCTTATCATTTAAGTTCATAACTCACACACACACTAGAGGTGCGATTTTCACACACATATGCTTGATTCAACTCAAATCAAAGAGGAACTACAAGATCTTAGAAAGATTTGATCATCAAGTAAGGTATAATCTATTTTTGCACTTGTTCTTGGTTGACATTCTTGTTTTATGGATTGCATGTTGAGATAGAGTTAAGGTTTCATATGGGTTTGATCTTAAGTCTATAAAATAAGTGTTTTTTAGTGTTTATGGCTTGAAATGATCATTAGATTCAAGAGATTATCAAGATTTATGCAAATTCAACATATGAACTTTGACTTGATTAAGTCAAAGTTTTGGGAGATAATATAAATGATAAAATAAATGCTGGATTTTGGTTGTTTATGTCAAATATGTTATATTAAGTTGAGATTCAGAAGTTGGAATAATTTGGAATCGAAATGGTTTGAGAAAAATGTTTGAAAATGAGAATGTTGACTTTAAGAATGCATTGAAAGTGTGCAGACTTTGAAAATCT